CTTTAAAACACCTAGTAGATGAAGCACAGTGCCTTCAGTCAGATGCTGCACACCATAACATTACAGGTCAGTATAGTAGAGAGAAATATTTCCTTCGTGTGAACAGAAAGATCAAGGTTGATTTCTCTTTTAATCTCTTCATGAAACATTAAAGAACTACATTATCTTTTATGTAAGTTTTTTGTCCGGTGCTATAAAATAACGCACGTGCCTTTGCATGGTCTTCTAGGAATATCAGTTCATGTCCAGCGGCAAGTTGTTTATTTCTCTGAAGGGACTCTCATATGGGCCAAGGAGGCTTCCAACATGTCTGATGTGTCTGACCTGAGAATTGTTTACAGAGGTTCAGGATTGATTACTTCCATCTCCATCGACTGGCTTTATCAGAGAATGTATTTCATCATGGATGAACTGGTTAGTCTGAGAGTTTAAAGTGAATAAGCAGATACTGATATTCATATATATATATATATATATATATATATATGATGTATTTACAAGTAAACATAATTTTTCATTAAATAAATATTCATTGATTATTTACTACTAGAGGCCTGGTACATGAATTTGTGCATGGGTGGGGTTCAGCTGGCCTGCCCCGATGGGGGCCCATCAGGCCGGGCCGATTGGGGGGGGGAGGGGAGCGGAGGGGCCACCCGTGGTTGGCCAGCCGGCCCCACCCCCTGGTTGAACTCCTGGTTAAGGGGACAATTTGCATATTAACCTTTTATTATATAGGATGTTTTAGACACTAGGTTAACAATGAATCATAGATCTGCTCTATAGGATGGTCTAGACCAGTGATGGCGAACCTTTTGAGCTTGGCGTGTCAGCATTTTGAAAAACCCTAACTTAACTCTGGTGCCGTGTCACATATAGAAATTTTTTGATATTTGCAACCATAGTAAAACAAAGACTTATATTTTTGATATTTATTTTATATATTTAAATGCCATTTAACAAAGAAAAATCAACCAAAAAAATGAGTTTGTGTGTCACCTCTGACACACGTGTCATAGGTTCGCCATCACTGGTCTAGACTTTACCTAGTACTAGTCCTGACCTACCATTAAATCATCTTTATTGGTGATTTTTCAGAGCCATGAGTTTATGCTAATGATAATTCATCTCCCATAAGATAGAGGTGGTACATGTGTTATAACTAGGTGGGCCTTCCTATCATGGTCAAAATCAGTTACAAGCACTTTGAATTATATAGTAACCAGGGTTGACTTTAGGTCTCTGGAAACCAGTATTACCGCAATCTTTGAGAAGACACAGTCTTGAGGTGTTCCAAGTTTCCTTGTTTGAAAGGACAGGCTTATCACAGTCACTGTGGCTGGAAATCTGTAAGCTTGGGTTAGCCTAAGTATTAAAAATAGTTGAGTGCCTACCGAAGCCAGGAAAATAGGTACTTGTATTTAATTAATGTCAATAGGATACAAACTCATTAGGGCATAGGAATTAAAACGGAGTTTTAGGGCATTTTCATGTTTTCAAAAAGTGCTCAGTGACCAGCACAATTCTAAGCACAGAACAGATAGATGCCCAAGAAATACTTGTTGGCCAAATTGAATTTAGATAGATACTAATCCTACTGCTGGAATTTTGATTCTCTAGGTATATGTTTGTGATTTAGAGAACTGCTCAAACATTGAGGAAATTACTCCTCCCTCAGTTATTGCACCTCAAAAAATTGTGGCTGATTCATACAATGGGTAAGTGGATTAATCTTGTAAATATGAATTCTTCCATGGGTAAGAAACTTTGGGAAACTTGCTTAATAATGAAACATTGTCGCCCCAGAAGAGCCCATCTATGTATCTTAGCTCAAATTGAAATAAATCCAGGTAATGTTTTCATTCTGTAGAGCCAGGAGGGGATTTCTTTCAAACTGGATCCACAACTTCTCTAGTGAAGAGTTTTCCCTTTCTCATTCACAGTAAAATATGGGTATATGTGAAAGACCTCTTGTCTGGGGCTCAGGGACCTGGGTTCTAGTACTGTCACTATTTTATGGCACAACCCGGGTCTCATTGCCCCACTCCATGTTCTCTGAAAGAAGCCCTTCCATTTCCGCCTTTCATCGCACTCTTTCTTTTGCTGGGCAACTCAGCATCAGTTCATTTCTGTGGTCTGGTTCATAAACCTATGAAGAGGCTAATTGATCAGAATGCTGCCAGCATCTACCTTAGGAGACAAGAATTGATGGTTAAATACAAGTAAAACTTTCCCATTACAAATAACTATTTTTCCCTTCCCTACAAATGGAATGGACACATTTTAGCTCAGGTGTGCTGCTATACTGCAATAGGACCTCAAACAAGTAACTTCATGCCCGTGACCTTTATTTTATCCCTCCATATGGGGATGACTTCCCCAGCTGGGTTATTTTGAGGATGGAATGAGGTTCTTACTGTGAACGTATTTTGTGATCTCCAAATGCACATAAATGTGCAAGATGAAAACATAGAAAGTTATCTTGTAATTTATTTCTTAACTGTGGCCAGATAATTATAGGTTAGTAACTAATAAGCAAGGCCAATGTTTGTAAGATTAAACATTTTTCTTTCCTGTAGGGATAAAGTTATTTTTTTTTTTAAAAAGTCCATACAACCTTTTATTGTTCTCAAATTAACCTTCATGAATAAAAGATTGCTCAATATTGATTTAAAATCAAGCCTTTCTCTTCATATTAATTCATAATTTTCTAGATATTTATTTTAATATCCTAGGTTTGAAAGAATCACTGCATTACAGAAAAAATTTTAAAAACCCTGTGATGTAAGGCAGGTCCTTTGGACTCTGAATCGTATTTTCCTCATTTGTAAAAGTCTGAAATCCTATTAAGTGTACCTTTGTTGCTGGCAGTTACACAAAAGGACTCATTCTGAGGACAGTGAACTTCACCCACTAAATCAAACCCTCAAAATGCATCTCAGTGAGGTCTTTGGTGGCTCTTTTTTCCCCATAAATAAAAGGTTGATTTCTGCTTAGGTTTTGAAATGTGACTAGAAATAATAATGATAATTAATAGTTATTAGACACTTAATATATGGTTTTAATTGCATTACTTCAACAATCCATTTAATCCTTGTTCAACACTATGATGTAGGTGCTTTTAATATCCTAAGATTACAAATAGGAAAGCAAAGAAGAGGTTGATTTAGTAATTGCCCAAGATCACACAGCTATTTGGGGATGACACCAGTACATGACTTCCTACTCCAGGGCCTATCTTCTAATCATCTCCCCATACCGTGGTAGACTTTCGGTAAAAACCAGTTGTAACTTTTAGCAACACTTAGGGAGTGTCCCTGAAGCACTCCAGATGTGGGGAAAAGTTGATTCTCCTGCTATTAAAAAAGGCCTCCTTTATGCTGTCATTTTGCACCATTGAATTATAACCTCAATGAGTGTGTACCTGCTATAAACCTTTTTCCTTCTCCCCTCATCCTTGCCTCACCCCCCCTTCCTCTCTATAGTCTACCTTCCACACCCCAGCTCTCCTCACCTTTCTTTTCTTTGTCTTTCCCCCTCCCCGCAACGTGGCGATGAGCTTTAGAAACATGCACTCCTCTCTGCTTCAGTATAAGAATTGTAATCTTTGCCCCATAACTTTTTCCTTCTATCTACTCTGAAATCCCTAAACAATTTGAATCTGGGAAACAAAAGCAGGAAGTTAAGAGCCAAGGTGTTTCTGCTTTTTGCCTGCCACAATCTTCCCTTAGGATAAAGAGCACAGGTTCATATCTCAGCATGGAGTTTATATATCAGATAATGTTCTGGCACAGGAGTCTTGAGCATATTGGTAACGATTTGGAATAGTCATCCGGAGAACACGAGTGGGACTGAATAGGATGAGGACAAGGATTTGACAGTTGTAGCTTCGAACCCTGCCAACCCATGGGTTTGTGATAAGAAAGACTTACTAAGCAAAAGTACATCTGTCTCCATGAACACAAATCCAAAATTGGCTACATTCAAATGAATAGTTTTATGTTTTAGTTAATATCCTGACAGATTTGATTATCAATGAAGTATTTTAGTGGCATTTCCTTTTTCATTATTATAAATTCATTTGCACCGCTCCCTCGATGTTTGGCTTCAAATTATATGAATTTTCAAAATTCCTCCATTGGCTTCTTTCTTCTGATTACTGGGTGGTCCTGCTCCCTTTTGCGGTATTTCTTCATGAGTTGTAAAATGGTAGCCCTAGTGCTGCAATTGTAAATATTTTTAAAAGCTTAGTCTACTAAAAATGCAAAGTAGCTAAATATTTATCATAAACTAATAACTGAGGTTTTAAAAAAGTGGTTGAAATGTTTTTGCTTTCTTCCATTTTTTTCATTTACAATGCGTGGGAAAGTTTATTGACAGAATTAGACTTAAAAATTTGTGGTTTTTGGAGAAAAGTTTTTTATAATAAATAACATGTGTAGATGTGTAACTTTTATATAATGTGTATTCCTTTAAGAGTAGGTTCCATTAGAAAATCCTTAAATCCTTTTTGCTTTTAAATTCTATGATTCTAAAAGTCATGTATAGTGAGAATGCTAAGCATTAGAAGCGAGGCTGACATTTTTCAGTGTTCCAACTTCTAACTTAAATGAATAGAGCATATCTTTAGTAAATATCCTTACTCTTTTGGCCCTTGGGAAACCCTGTACTTATTAACTCTGGAAATACATGATTCTGATTGCACAATTGGATAAAGCAATGGGTTGGGAAGGTTACTCATCTACCTTTGCATTGAGTCAAACCAGGCTTCTTTTGTTCCCACGTCAGGTATGTCTTTTATCTCCTGAGAGATGGCATTTATAGAGTAGCTCTCCAGGTGCCACCTGGTCGGGACTCAGAAGCCATGCGTATTGTGGAGAGTTGCACATTAAAGGACTTCGCAGTAAAGCCACAGTCCAAGCGAATCATTTACTTCAACGACACCACCCAAGTCTTCATGTCAACATTTCTGGATGGCTCTGCTTCCCATCTTGTCCTCCCTCATGTCCCCTTTGCTGATGTGAAGAGCTTTGATTTCGAGAACAATCACTTCCTTGTCACAGATGGCAAGGCTGTTTTCCAGCAGGATGCGTTGTCTTTTAATGAGTTCATCGTGGGATGTGACCTGAGACACATAGAAGAGTTTGGGTTTGGTAACTTGGTCATGTTTAGCCGGTACACCCAGCCATACCCCCTGCCGGCCCGCCCACAGCAGCTCTCTGTGCTGTTTGGATCCTACCAGGCCCTGGTTCAGTGGAAGCCTCCTGCCCTCGCCATAGGAGCCAGTGAGTGCCCTCTCCCCAGCGTGGTCATGGCCTCAGTGGAAGGAAAGGAAAGCTTGAACTGCTTGACATTGTCACTCGGTTTTGAGAGCTCATCTGTGATGATGCACTCATCAACCAGAGTGCTGCTTAGCGCAAAAAGGAGTTTTGACACGTTTAGTCTGCATTTACTAGTTTTGCATTGGGATGCTCTCTATGTTTTTCATTTATATCCCAACAGAATGGCTCAAATGTTTATTGAGTGTCTACTAGGAGCCAGGCACTGACAAGATAGTCTGAGTGAATATTAGCCAGGGGGTTAGGACACTTGGGTTGAGGTTTTCTATCCATTATAACCTTTAATTAATTTGAACAACTCCCTAAAACTCTCTAAACCTGAACTTCCATTTCTGCAGAGGCAGTTTGTGTGGCAGGTAAGTAGGTGGGCTCTGGAGCCAACCTGCATGGACTCAAAGGCTGGTCTTGCCATTTATTAGCAGAATGACCCTGGACAACTTAATCAGTTCCCACTACTGGAAGATGGGGATATTAATTCTTTCTATGGGATTGTCATGTAGATTAAAGTAAGATGCGTAAGTAGAAAACACTTAGAACAATACCTACCACAGAGGTCAGCAAACTTTTTTTATAAATGAAGGACCAGGTATAAATATGTTCAGCTTTGTGGTTCATACGGTCTCTGATATAGCTATGCAACACTGTCTTTGTAGTGTAGAAACAGCCATAGATAATATGTAAATGAGTATTGGTGGCTGTGTTCCAGTACAACTTCATTTACATAAACAGGAGTGGGCTAGATTTGGCCCCGGGACTGTAGTTTGCCAACCCCTAGCCGCCTAAGGTATTTAGCAAACATTGTCTATTTTCTACTTTAAGACAAAGTTAATTATGCCTGTTTGCTGTATATCACAAAGACAGCTACAAATGAATAAGCAAATTTTGGGCTTCTGGGAGAAAAGTGCTATGCAAGCACTAGAATTATATTAGAGATTCACCACCAGCATTTGCTTATTAGAAGCCTGGTTCCACCTGGCAGTGTGAGAGAGACCCCCCTGACAATTCTGTGCAGCCAAGTTATTATTGGGAATAATAACTCCATCAGTTAGCAAGATGAGTGGCATGGGTGGAATGGACACTGTTCTAGTTATACCATCAAACTAACCCTGATGATTAGGGGGGTAACAGGTATTACTGCCCAATGACCCTTCCATTCAAGGTGAGGCTGGAGATGAATTTCCTCATGACCCTTTGTTTGCCCTTGCTGATGTCATCCCGGCCAGTAATATTGGTTAACTCTTCTGATTAGGCCCTTCCTCCTGGCAGAACTGGACTTACGAGGTGAAAATATCAACCCAAGACTTCCCCGGAAACACTCGCGTTTTCTCTAACATACGTGGGACCGTGCTGAATGTCCCCGGGCTGCAGAGTGCGACACAATACGAGGTTTCCGTGAGAGCAAGTTCTCCCAAGGGGCCAGGCCCGTGGTCAGAGCCCTCGGTGGGTACTACCCTGGTGCCAGGTGAGAAAATGTTCTTGATGTAGGAGTGATTCTGACAAACAAAGACTTCTTCCCCGTGTTCCTTAAAATTAGTCACTTCCAATGTAGTAAAGAAGTTAGAATGAGGGTGTGATGGTCTCTTGAGTATGTTTATCTGAGATTAGGAAAACACCTAAAGCTCTGGGTAACATTTTATGTGTCTGGCCTGATATTGTAAACTTTCTAAAGATAGTTTGTGGGAAAAACATCCTTTTCTTCTCCTTCATGACTTTCTTCTTTCTTATGGTTTATTACACAATAGCACTCCTTGAGCTCTGAAGGTCATGCGGAGAGAAGTTGAGGGGCTGCTAATTATGCTAACTATTATCCTCTTGACAGAAAAAAAGGGAAAGATATTTGTACCATTTATACTGCTACTGTTATCACAATTGCTTCTGGGTGCTCTGAATGGGAACATGGCAACCAATAGCCAAAGCAAAAAAACAACAACAACAACAAAACAAATTCTGCCATGACAATAACATTGCTATAGAGGCAATATCACCATACATTTCTCTTCACATTCAATTTTAAATATTTACATAAAAATCTGCGAGTATGTTTAATATGATATATAATTCTATTAAGCAGACACAATTGCTCATACCTTCCACAGCGTTTTTTAAAATGTTGATATTCTTTTACTTTATAAAGAAAACCTTAAGATGTGTGCCTTAAAAAGTGTGCTTTCTGTGATATTTCCTTCAATTTCTTTTTTTTCACCCAATAGCTACAGAACCACCATTTATCATGGCTGTCAAAGAAGATGGGCTTTGGAGTAAACCATTAAATAGCTTTGGCCCAGGAGAATTCTTATCCTCTGATATAAAGAATGTGTCAGGTAAATGCCAAGTCCCTTTACACTTGGAATGGCAGGTTTCTACTCATTCCCAAGCTATTTGATAAATCAAAGAATCAAGCTTTTTGGTATTAGGTCAATAATGAAAGGGGGGAAAATTGACTGAACTGTACTTCCAGGGACAGTATTAAGAAAATGTTGGTTCTCAAGTAGGAATGCTGTTTATTATTTCAAAATGTGAGGTTACTTATTGATTCATGCCCATTTCAGGAACGCTTTGATGTATTTCTCATGAATTTTAATCTATCAGTGTTGTCTCACAGTAACAACCTATCTTGTTCCACTAAGACAGCTACGCTTCAGTAATTTATTATGAGTTGGCTATAAGACTGGAGCATGAAAAGGCTGCATGAAGATATAAACAAAGAATAAGAAAGGATTTCATGACAGAGGATTATTCAGTAATGAGTGGGTCATTTTGCCGGGAAGACATTAGAATGAAGAAAAGTCTTCATTCCAGGATGATATAATAGTGACCTTGCTGGAAGAGGGCATCTTCTATAACTACCTAAGTGTTTGATCTATTTGCTTGGCCATTAAAAGTACAACAGCATTTCTGACCAACAAAGAAGTTGGGCTTAGGAAGTATTGTCTAATGGAAAGAATGCTTTGGAGTTGGCTTGAATCTTGGCTCCCCCTCTTTTCATTTGTGAGATCTCAGGCAGAACAGATAATCTCACCGAGTCTCGGTTTGCCATGTCAAAAATGAGGATACTTCCTATTTCACAGCTTTGTTTTAAGAATTAAGTGAGACGTGTGGAAGTGCCTGGGACAATGTTTGGGAAAGAGGAGATGCTTAGTGAATATTAGTTCCTCTCTCTAGTTCCAGGGATAAAGATTTTGAGGTAACATTATTGAAATATTCTTGACCAATCCCTGACGGTCTAGTGACTCTCTATGTTAGCATATGCTATTAGATTGGGTGCAAGTGTGATTTCTTGACTTGCTCTGCTTGTGTCAGCACATATGAAAAAAATAACTTTTACCAATTCACTCTGTTTTGAGACATGGATTGGTATAACAACAGACTCTACTACAGTGACATGAAAGGTGATGTTCACGTGTGGCTGCTGAATGGGACGAATATCTCCAAGAATGATCACATACCCAACATTGCAGGAGCAGGGGCGTTAGCTTACGAGTGGCTGGGTCACTTTCTCTACTGGGCTGGAAGGACATATGTGGTAAGTTAAAGCCTGGCATTCCGGAAGCTCTAGAGCAATGCCCACCCACTTCAGTGGCTTGAATATTATTTCCATGATTTTTTTCATATTAGTGTACCATCTATGCTATTATTTATTGAATATTTGTCCTTAAGTCTGCTCAATTTTTTATTAAGATGCATTTATGTGCCCTAACTGGTTTGGCTCAGTGGATAGAGAGTCGGCTAGCGGACTAAAAGGTCCCAGGTTTGATTCCGGTCAAGGGCGTGTACCTTGGTTGCGGGCACATCCCCAGTAGGGGGTGTGCAGGAGACAGCTGATCGATGTTTCTCTCTCATCGATGTTTCTAACTCTCTATCCCTCTCCCTTCCTCTCTGTGAAAAATCAATAATAAAATATATATTTAAAAATGCATTTATGTGTGAAGGAAATTTTATATCTTTGGTGTACTATTTCCAACAATATCTTAAAATAAATATATTAAAATGTTCTCTAGTGGGTCAGTGTCCTGGAGGAAGATAGCACACTCCCGCTAAGTGAAGGGACCATTTTTCAAAGATGTAGACAGGGCTAAGGAAAACAAAGGATGGCAAAGCATGCCCTGGGCTAGCAAGTGTCGAAAGATATAACTACTTCCAGGCATAAAGAGGCAAAGGAAAGAAGGAGAAGAACCTGTGAGGACTGTAGCTTTAGGAGAGTTGCTGACATGAAACCCAATCACTGTCAAAATGCGTGGTCTGGGGGAATGAGTTCCCCAACCCCTCCTTCCTTCTGCCCTCCCATCTCCTGCCAGTGCTTCTGTTCGCTGAACCTCACTGGAACCCGGGGAACAAGGGAGTCCAGTGATGCAGTTCATAGATGTCAGCCTTCAGGGGGAAGAGGAGGGTGGAGAGGGTTGAGTGGACCTGGAGGCAAAATGAAGACATCTTGGTATGTGTAGTGATACACTGAAAGGAAAGATGGTTAGTGATGAGAACACTAGTCTGACAGATCGAGAAGTATAGTACTGAAATTGTTTTCTAATCAGGAGTGTGCTATTGTACGTACTTTTATTCACTCAACAATCATTTATCTATTACCAATATATTTAGAGCCTTGAGAATAGGCATAGTTGGGAATATAAAATAAATAGTAGACATATCCCTGCTCTTTTTTTTTAAAAAAACAACAACAACATATAAACTTTATTTAGATATAATTTACAAACCATAAAATTCACCCTTTTGTTATGTAAAATGGAGTGGTTTTTTAATATGTTCAGGGTTGTGCAACCATCACCATTTGCCCCTGGTCTTTTAATGATATAAAAATACATAAATGAAATAATAGAGGACACACACAAATTAATGTATTTAGAGGCCAGCATTATGGCATAGTCTGAATTCCTAAGTGCCAGTGACGTGTAGGCAGAGTTGATGGGGTTAATAAGAGACTGCTCCCTAAAATGGGTTAGTTGGAAAATAGTTTAGAAGGAGAAAGTGGAAGAATGGATATGAAAATTGGCTTCAAGTATTTGCTCTGTCTCTTAAAAACTGTCTAACTCCAGGAAAAATTACTTAACTTCTTTGAACCCAGTTTACTCTTGAAAAAGTAGGGAATAGAAATCCTTAATAGGCTTACTGTGAGGGTTACAAGAGCTTATATTTTAAATATTGAAAAAATATATAGTGCTAGGCACATAATACATACTCACTAATAATGGCAGTATTTAATGTTAGGAAAATCTATTGATAGAAAGGAATCCGATAAAAAACATTTTTATCCAGCAGTGTTTTGACTGGATATATGATTAGGAAGAGCAAGTATTTTAACTCAAAATAAGTGTACATTCCTTCTCTTTAGGAACATGAAAAGTGATAAGGTTCATGAGGGCAGGTCCCATGACTATTTTGTTTACAAGGTTTAGTACATAGTGCCAATAAGTACTTATGGTTGAAAAAATGATTGGTAAATGCAGCAGTTTAATAATTGCAATAAACTATTCAGGAATCATTTAAAAATCATATGATTGTGTTTTATAGATACAAAGGCAGTCCGTGTTGACAGGACACACAGATATTGTGACGCATGTGAAGTTGTTGGTGAATGACATGGTGGTGGATTCAGTTGGTGGATATCTCTATTGGACCACACTCTACTCAGTTGAAAGCACCAGGCTAAATGGGGAAAGTCCCCTTATACTACAGGCACAGCCCTGGTTTTCTGGGAAAAAGGTGACAAATTAAAAATAAGATCTGATTATTTAATAATTCTGAGTAGTGCTATTGTATAGTTATGATAATACTCTTTCAGCTTATTGTGTATAGTTAAGGTAGAATCTGAAAGGAAATACTGTTACAGTAAGATTTTGGTATAAGCAAAATTTCTTTCATTTGATTGTCATAATTGATTTAAATATTTTAAATATAAGATGGAAACTTTTGGTAGTTTGCCTTATCTTGAATGGTCCACACTTAAAAGCATTTTAATTTCTGATTATTTTTATAGTCTCAGAAATTCTGTGGGATATATTAGAGCTTGTTGGATAGTGATTAGGTGTTTTATTATTTTTTACTTTTTAAACTAGACGCCCTGTGCACGACATTCATGCACTTGGGGAGGGGGGTCCCTTAGCCAGGCCTGCACCCTTTGCAGTCCAGAAGTCCCATGGGGAGCGGGCCTAAGCTTCAGTCTGGCCTCCCTCTGCGGGAGGCGACCAGGTGGGCCTATCAGGGGACAGCGCCAGCTGGTGAACGGCCCCAGTGGGCCTATCAGGGGACAGTGCCAGCTGGTGAGCGGCCCCAGTGGACTGATCTGGGGATGGTGCTGCTGGCAGCTGGCCAGTAGCTTGCCCCGCCTTCCCCCATCACCCCACTGCCACTGCTGGTTGCTGCCACCCCCCTCCCTCTGCCCGCTGGCATGCACCTTGGCTGGCCTGGACTGCTGCTCGCTGGCCCAACCCCCTGCTGACCGGTCGTTCTGCTGTTCAGTCGATTTGCATATTACACTTTTATTATATAGGATATATTTTTATTGGCTTCAGAGAGAAAGGGAGAGGGAGAGAGAGATAGAAACATCAGTGATGGGAGAGAATCATTGATAGGCTGCTTCCTGCACACCCCACACTGGGGATTGAGCCTGCAACCTGGGCATGTGCCCTGCCCGGGAATCGAACCCTGATCTCCTGGTTCATAGGTCGATGCTCCACCACTGAGCTACGCTGGCTGGGGTCAATTTTGGATGTTGACTGCTCTAAAAACTGTCTGACCTCCAAGCAAAATATTTGACTTCTCTGTGTGTGTTTCCTTTTCTGAATAATGAAAATATTAACAATTAGTCCAACTCTCAGGCTTGTTGCAAAGATTAAATGAGATAATTCATGCGAAGTAATGACAGTAGTTCCAAACACATGGTAACTGCTTAATAGTTAAGCTCTTATTATTGTAATTCAGTCTAAATAACAATCTGATATAAGAATGTTTTTAAAACAAATATTATTTTTACTTCCTCAACTTCTAGAATCAGTACCCATTGTTCTTAATCCTCTTTAACTACCCTCTATGTATTCATCTAAATTTCTGACTGTGTTTCTTCTGATCGTAATAGTAATATACTATGTCTACTATGGGAAATTTAGAAATTACAAGAAAGCATGAAGAGGAAAGACATCATTCATACTGTTTGTACCTATGATATTTCTTAAATTTTTGAACATTTTAAAGTTGGTTTTCTTTTGTCAATAGAGAGAGGTAAAATATACATAATACAGACATATCAGATCATTTATAAACAAAGAAACAAACAAATTGTTGAGTCATTTGATTCTTAATTCTATCGGATATATGGATAATAATTTGTAAGACATTTAAAGGACCTGATTTTCGTATAGAGATTAGAACACAGATATTTAAAAGAAATAGAAATTTACACTCATACCCAGAAATTAATCATTCCTGCCAAAAAATGAAATTTTGGAGCCACTTGAATCTGAATACAAAGAAAGTATTCTTTTATGTCTCAGTAAAACATGTTAGGGGAAAGCACTTTTATTTTTGTGAAAATGTATTGAAGATAATATCTCAAGAGTAATCTCCTAACCCTATGGCCTTGTCAGTAATTTCTCCACTGCTCCGATCTAGCCGTTGGAGTTATTTCCACCAAGGAAAGCTCTGGAGTGGCCCTGCGACTTTTCCATAGATGAGTAAATCATTAGATTTTTCAGCATGTTTGGTGCACACACCTTTCTTTAAATTCCTGCTCTAAGTCCTGTCAAAGGCTGGCGAGTGGGATCCGTGTTCTGCTTCCATGGTGTGATGTCTTATCTCTATGCCTCCATTCATGCTACTGGTTGTTAGCAGTACAGATACGGATAACAAACTGATGGTTGCCAGAGGGGACGGAGGTGGGAAGATGGGTGAAAAGGGGTGAAGGGAAATAAGAGGCACAAACTTCCAGTTATAGAATAAAAGTCACAGAGATGTAATAATGTACAGTACAGGGAAATAATACCATAATAGCTTTGTATGCTAACAGATGGTTACTAGACTTATTGTGATCACATCATCAGGTATATAAATGTCAGGTTACCATGTTGTACACCTGAAATGAATATAATATTGTATGTCAGCCATACTTTAATAAAAACTAAATTTAAAAAGAGATAAAATAGAGTTAATTTGTTATTTAGAAAACTCTAATGCATCTCATTATAAATAACCAAGCAAGATTAACCTGATTTCATTTTAACTGAAAAAAGTAATCAATAATCTCTTTTAGCCCAGCTGGTGTGACTCAGTGGTTGAGTGTCGACATATGAACCAGGAGAGCATAGTTCAATTCCCAATCAGGGTACATGCCTGGGTTGTAGGCTTGATCCCCAGTGTGGGGTGTGCAGGAGGCAGCCAATCGATGATTCTTTCATCATCAATATTTCTGTCTCTCTCTCTCCCTCTCCTTTCCTCTCTGAAATCAATAAAGATATTTTTAAAAAATCTCTTTTAGCATGAAGCATGGACACGATTCAAATGCTAGAATAGTTTTTTACCTTTTGGGAAAAGAGTAGGTTGGGTTGTGTTTGTTTGTTTGTTTGTTTGTTTTTAACAGAAAGCTGTGATTTATAAGAACATAGAAGGTTCTTACACTCATGTGCCTCAAGATTATGTCTTTGTAGTAGGCCTTGGGTAATGTAGAAAGTATTTTTAGTTCTAGGATACATTATTGTATTCCTTTTACATTTTTCACTGGCTCATCATTTTTGTTTATATGCTGCTGTGTCTTGCTAAAAATATAGTCATCAACTTTAATCCTATCTGATAGCTCTCAGTCTCCAGGCCTGCTATAGAGAGAATGCACTACTCTGAGGTCAGACTCCGGCAATCTCAGCTTATTTGAAAAATGCCTATAAAGCCAAAGAAAGCAAAAAAGATCTCTTGGATTGTAACTTCTATCTCACAGTCTATTTCATAGGAGAAGCAGTCTTTCCTCAGGCCTTACCTAGACAGTTGGACATAAAATTAAGAAAAGATGGTAACAAGAAGTCAAAGAAAGAGTAGTGAGAGGTTTTCAGATGTCAGCTAGAAATAGGACTTTATATATAGGTGACTCTACCAGTTATAAAACATAAAAACCCTGTATTATATTTTTAAAATGTATCAGGATGTTTTGGTTATAATGAACAGAAGATACAATTTAAAATGGTTTAAACCATTGTTCTCAAAGTTGGTGACACATTGGAATTATACGGGGAATTAGAGAACATTCAGGGGACTGGGCTTCATCTTCAGAGACCACACTTTAATAGGATGCAACCTGGAAATCGAGATGTTTAAAGAACTGCACAGGTGATTCTAATGTGCAGCAATGCTTGAGAACAACTGATTTCAACAACAATGAAATTCATTGACATATGGCTGAAGAGTCCAAAGTTATGGCTTACTTTGGGCAAGGCTTGACATGACACAGAGGCTCAAGTTCCTGATTCAGTAGGTCCTGGAATGTGGTTGAGAATTTGTCTTTACAAGTTCCCAGGGGATGCCGATCCTGCTGGAGACAAGTATATAGAAGTGAGTAACAGTCCCTGCCTTTTGAAGATTTTTAGGAAACCAGTGCACTTATATCCAAATTATATAGTAATAGCCATAATCATATAATTTTTATATTCAGTGAAAGGTAAAAAAAAATCACTGAGTTTATTATTCCAAAGCTGATCTTAAGGAGAAATCTATAGCTTAAGTGTGACTTGTTCACAAAGGTATCCTTCACCTGTATATTTGATCTGTTTTCTTGCCTTATGTTCTATTTAGGTAATTGCTCTAACTTTAGACCTCAGTGATGGGCTCCTGTATTGGTTGGTTCAAGACAGTCAATGTATTCACCTGTACAGAGCTGTTCTTCGGGGGCAGGGGTAAGTAACATCCCTCGAAGGCAATTGATTGAGAAGAAGAGCATGACTTGCCCATCAGTTATAAATGATAATGCATGAGAATTCATTTTTTAATAAACAGTTACTAATCATCCACTCAGTTGCAGTCATTGTGCTTGTGGGGAAAGACAGGTTTGTAAACATCTAATTACGTAGAATGTGGTGAACACTGTGATAGGGTATATAGAGAGAGCAGAAGACACTGTCAGGTGGGTGAAAGTCCACAAGGCAAACCAGAGACTGTCTTCACAGTTGAGTAGGTGTGAATAAATAGCCTTTTACTAGGCCAGGGACTATGGAAATAGCACTAGTGAACATGTGTCTTTATAAGGTTCATAAGTCCCAGCTATGGTCCTCTGAGGTAGTTTTTGTTTTGTTTTTTCAAGGAGATACTGTGAAATTATCAAAACAAAACTTTCATTTATTTTAAATGTCATACTTTATAATTTTCTAAAGAGGGAAATGTCAACACTTTAACAAGATTTAGAGAAATCATTCTTAAAAAAGGTCAAACCTCTGCTCTAAAAGGTTGAGAATCATTGAGAGTTTTTACTGAGTACTAGGTAACTGGAGTCATTTTAAAAACAACCAATAAAAATTGTAAAGTAAAAAAGGCCTTGTAAAATTCCCTGTCATTGAGAAAAAAAATTTCTAAAAGCAATTTAAACAATAATCTGTTTACTTGAATTCCCGGGTCTGAAAAGAAGCATTTTGACTAAGCTTTAGAAATTAGTAAGTATCATTGGAGCAACAGAGACTTGTGACTAGTATACAGAGAAGGACCAAACAGGCTAGAATAATGAAAGCAAGTAAATAACCAAGAATAGGAGGGAGACATGGCTCAGTGAGGAGAACCAGTCACTGGGTTGTGACTTTGATGTAGGGTATTACCAAGAACCACAAGCATTTATTAAAACCTGTGTAACACTCTTGCCATTGCAGTATCACATTGATAAGAAAAGCCCTAGAAAATTTGCTTTAGGAATATTTTAAGAACAAGGGAAAAATCAACTAAATATTAAACTAAGAATAATGACGATTGTTGTTGCAAGGTATTTTCTGTTTTTATGTACACAAACATATGTTTTCTCCAGAATTTGAATGTACCAGCCCTTCCCCCACTCAGGACACACACACTAATTGGTGTCATTTTCAGCAGTGTTGGGGAGCCCACCATCACAGAATTTGCAGCCTGGAGCACTTCCGACATTTCCCAGAATGCACTGATGTACTATAGTGGTCGGCTTTTCTGGATCAATGGCTTTAAGATTATAACAGCTCAAGAAATAGGTCAGCGAACTAGTGTCTCTGTTTTGGAACCAGCCAAATTTAACCAGTTCACAATTATTCAGACGTCCCTCAAACCTCTGCCAGGTACAATATTTTATTCTAGTTTACCCTCACTCCTCCATACTTCCTGTTAAATAAATGTCTAGGTTGGTATTTTTTCTTAAGAATTATGTTTTAAGAGGAAAAGGGTGTTAGTGGCTTCTGTTGGTTTGCTTGCAGACAGTTTATATTTTTTAAAAATATATTTTTTTATTGATTTCAGAGAGGAAGGGAGAGTAAGTGTGAGATAGAAACATCAATGATGAGAAAGAATCATTGGTTGGCTGCCTCCTGCATGCCCCACTCTGAGGATCAAGCCTGCAACCCGGGCATATGCCCTGACCAGGAATCAAACCGTGACCCCCTGGTTCATAGGTTGACACTCAACCACTGAGCCATGCCGGACAGGCATAGTCAGTTTATTCTTAACTCAAATGTACAGCTTGAAATGGTCAGAAAATAAGATGACTTTCAGAATGTTTTAAAATAAAGGACAATTTTGCTTTGGTACTATTAGTAATTATTATTAATTTTCCATATTTTTTATGATGATTATAATACTAAATTCTTTCTCCCTCTATTCTTTCTTTCATTTCATCTCAGGGAACTTCTCCTTTACCCCTAAGGTGATCCCAGATTCTGTTCAAGAGTCTTCATTTAGGATTGAAGGAAATGCTTCAAGTTTTCAAATCCTGTGGCATGCTGTCCCAGCAGTGGATTGGGGTGCAATTTTCTACAGTGTGGAATTTAGTGCTCCTCTTAAGGTATGGCCTTGGTTCTAGTAGCTTCTATTTCTCGGACAGGCTGTACCATCTGCATCCAGCCCTGCCCACACTGATTTGTACTTTCTTCACTTAGCCAAACCCATCTCCTTGGTTGCTCCATCAGCCTCTGTCAGGATTATTCTTGAGATCCTTTGTCTAGCCAGTCTCTGACTGCTTTGTGGTTAGTGCTAACAGCTGGCATATTAGACTCTTTAACTGGAATTTACCAACATCAGCATTTCCAAATTTGAAGGGCTTGACTTTATATGTGAACTGAAGTTTAGAGATTTTAGTTAAGTTGGAATAAAAGATTTTATGATTTTCTCCCTAAGAAAATAATGTTTTGTGTTTATATTTTAGTTCCTGGCTAGTGAAAAACAGCCTTTACCTGTATTTACTGTGGAAGGTCTGGAGCCTTATGCCTTATTTAATCTTTCTGTCACTCCTTATACCTACTGGGGCAAGGGCCCCAAAACATCTCTGTCACTTCGAGCACCTGAAACAGGTACAGGGGTTAAAATCTTTAAGAAAGAAAAGGGCAGAATCTCACTTTGCATGATCTAGAATGGACAGTTAATTTTTTAGAGTAACTTTCAGTTTTGTAGATGTGTTTAGATTCAATATACTTTCAATGACTTTTTAGAGATTAGAACAACACTATTAAAATAACTCTGCATAATTTATTCCAAAAGTATATTTCAGAGATTTACTTTAAGAACTGTTTAACTTCATTGTAATGACATACAAGATGCACAAACATGTTTCAGGTGATTTGTGAAATGCTTTATAAGGAAATGGGGCATTTATGAACTGAGACAGTGTTGTGGGAGGTAGGCTTATTGGGAGATATTCTCATGAAAGGTAATTTAGAATCTTCCGTAGATGAATAACTGATGTTTAAATTTATTGATTTCCTTGGAATATATTTTAAAATGGATACTGGCTATATCTTTACATGTATCTATCACTTTCAAGTGTAAAAAGCATATTTATGTGTATCACTCCTTTATTAAACATTTAATACATACCTATCATGTGTCAGAAACATCATTTCATTTGATCCTTACACAGCTCTGAGGTAGATAGACAGGTATTATTATCTTGACTATGAAAAGGAGAAAACAAGCTCAGTAGTTGCCCAAAGTAAAATAGAGAGTAAGTGACAGGGCTGGAATTTAATCTTAATTTTTGCAAATGTTGGCAAATGATGGTGTCATATTGATTTAATTTACACAACTTCCTAGCACAGGACCTGGCAGGCAGTAAGAGCTCAATAAGCATGGACATCCATTTATCATTATATATATACACACACACACATATATATATTTACATTAAGAGTCTTTCAACAATATTTTTCTATGAGTCTCATAAGCTTAGGCAGGTTCAGAGCAGTTAGCATTTGGGCCCAGGTATGCTATCTTTGATATTGTCTTGGGTTGTCATCCTTGCTTGGGTTCTTCTGTGGAAGTAAACTTGACTATATCTAACAGGGGGTGTAGTGAGGGCTGGGGTCATCAACACTCTGCTGGATGTTGGGAGTAGTAAGGAAGATTGATAAGATTTGGCCTTTGCCATCAGGAAATTTATAATATAGTTGGGAAATTATTCAAACTGACAAATATTTATTAAGCACTTACTGTGTACCTGTCCTATATTAGATTTGGAGGGATTTAACAAGGATTGAGAAAAGGTACTTTCTCTGATGGAGCTCATAAAACAGTAGAGAGATGAACACATTCTGCTAATGATAATAGAAATAAGACTGATAGCTGAGGAGTGATGGCATGGCGTAAGTAGGCAAGACTGCAAAACCTTCACCTACATCAAGCTGCCTCAACATCCTTAAGAGCGGGCAATAGACATGATGGTATGGCTAGGAAGGCCGTTAGGGAGTGGAAACTCTAGCTGGGCCCCGAGGAATGAAGCAAGAAGAGTGCGTATCCCATGTGAGTACAATATAAGAAGGCCTGGAGATTGGATAACGACGTGAGTATTGAACCTTAAGAAGCAATGTGATTGGAGAGACGAGTGGGAGAATCTGAAGAAAGAAGAATCATATCTTAAAAGGAATAACTGGAAAATCAGGAAGAGAAATTTCCTTTAAAAGATGGAGAAATTAAAGGACTGAGTGAATTGCTTGGTTTGGCTCTAAAATAAATGGTGACCTTCAAATCATACTCTTGGGGTACATCTTGTCTCCTGGGAGGGCTCAAGGGGAGAAGACCTAGGATCCCCAATAGCTGTATTTTTTAAAAATATGTTTTATTGAGTTTTTTACAGAGAGGAAGGGAGAGGGATATAGAGTTAGAAACATCGATGAGAGAGAAGCATCGATCAGCTGCCTCCTGCACACCCCCTAATGGGAATGTGCCTGCAACCAAGGTACATGCCCTTGACCAGAATCGAACCTGGGACCCCTCAGTCCACAGGTCGATGCTCTATCCACTGAGCCAAACTTGTGAGGGCCCAATAGCTGTATTTTTTATCTTGAACTAGCTGAAGGATAGATAGGGTTACTGCCTTCCTTCCTGGTGACTGGCCATTTTCACCTCCAGCTAAATCATTCTGTCAAGATGAGAGTAAATATTGTATTTTGTAAGGAGAATAAGACACCTTCCATCGATACAGGGCCCAGACAAGAAGATGTACCTAAGTGGTAGTAAGAGGGGTTTGGATTAGACATAAGGGAGATTTGCTTAAATATTAAGATAGGTTCCTGAAGAAATCTATGGAATAGTCTCTTCTGAAAATATTTAAGAAGATAGATATACCTCAACTATCTGGAATGAGAAAGTTATTACTGGGTTGCTCCATGCTCTTATCATGAGTGGTAAAAGTCAACCTTCTATTCTTTTCTGCCCTATCGGTGTCTTTGCTTTTCAGTCCCATCAGCACCAGAGAATCCCAGAATATTTATATTATCAAGTGGAAAATACCATAATAAGAATGAAGTTGTGGTGGAATTTAGGTGGAATAAGCCTAAGCACGAAAATGGTGTGTTAACAAGATTTGAAATTTTCTATCAAATATCCAACCAAAGTGCCACCAACAAAACATTTGAAGACTGGATTGCTGTCAACGTCACTCCCTCAGTGATGTCTTTTCAACTTGAGGGCATGAGTCCTGGGTACATTGTTGCTTTCCAGGTATGGACACATGCTGGGGTTGCAGGCTTGATCCCCAATAAGGGGGAGGTCTTGCAGGAGGCAGTCAATTGATGATTCTCTCTCATCATTAATATTTCTATCTCTCCCTTTCCCTTCCTCTCTCTGAAAACAATAAAACATATTTTAAATTTTTTTAAAAGAGTGTGAAATAAAAAATTCAATAATTTATTAGTCTCGGAACTTAATTATTGTCACTGAGGACACTGTCAAATGCAATTTTTTTGTATCTTTTTCTTTCTTTAGGTTAGAGTCTTCACATCCAAAGGACCTGGACCATTTTCTGACTTGGTACAGTCCCAAACATCAGGTACTATCTAAAACCTGTGTAAATAACAATTAGTGTATTTAAAAAAAGCTCTTTAACTCTTGGTATTCTCAGGGATATAAGTATAATCTCTGAGCTGAAGTTAAAGTCAAATAAAAAAAATAAATTTTTATCATAATCAAACATGCTTAAATATATCTAGACTCAGAGCACCTAGTCTGTCTCCATTGAGACTGATGTAGTAGATGAACACAAAGGAAACCAATGGATTTCAAAATGACATCAGATTGAGTTAAGGGATTTTGGTAAATTAAAGTTACTTTTCTCATACATATTACCTACTTGTATTTTGTTTTCAGAAGTCAACCCATTTCCACGCCTCATAACTCTTTTGGGCAACAAGATGATTTTGTTAGATATGGATCAAAATCAAGTCGTATGGATGTTTTCGGCAGAAAGAGACATCAGTGCCATGGGCTACACAGCTGATGATGCAATGGCGTATTATGCTCAGGGAGACTCCCTCTTTCTTTTGAACATGCACAATCAGTCCAGCTCTGAGGTACATCACTATGTAATTCTTTAGAAAGGAAGTATGTTAACTATCAAGGTTGTTATTAAGAGGACTTTCAGTGCAGTTGTGAAAGGAAGAAAGTAGAAGATCTGCATATCACACTGCCCTGTAATTAAACTGACTGGCCTGTGGTTGAGGCATTAAGATTAGGATGGTTGAAAAGGACAGATGCCTTATAACTATTTAGTCACAAATAAGCTCAGATTAGGTTTTGGGCAAATGCCATTCAGGATTAATTTAGCGCAAACAGTTATTGGGTTTAAGGCACTGTGTTAGTTCCTGGAATAAAGGTGAAAAAGAAAAGTCGTAGTTCTTAAACAAACCCCGTCTACTACTGGTCTAACAGTAGGTAGACAGTATGGCACAGGGATTAAGAGGGTGAGTTTTGGAATCTGACAACCTAGAATTTAACTCTGACTCCACCACTTACTGGATCTGTGACCATCAGCAAGTTATTTAATTGCTGTGGTTTTGTAGTACCTCATCATAGGATTCCTGTGAAGATCAAATGAGATAATGCATGTAAGGCGCATAGCACAATGCTGGCATGTGGTAGGCATTCATTGAATGTTTGCTAGTGGAGAAGGCAGACAGAACACAGTGTAAGTGCTGTGCTGAGGGTAGGAGATGGTGGAATCTCATAGAATGGATGCTCCATCCAGGTTGGTTGTGGTAGGATGGAAAGACATCTTGGATTCCAAGAAGATGAGCCAGGTAAAGGTGGGGAAAAGCTGAGGAAGCAACAAGTGCTAAGTCAGGGAAACAAGAGATCCATAGCATATTCAGGGAGCTATAAATAAATAGGAGGAGCTTGGAATGGAGATGGAGGTGAGGGCAGAGTGAAAGGCAGGTGGTAAAGCTGTAGAGGTAGGCAGGAGCCTGCATAGAATGGGCCTCCTTTGCAAGCAGCAAGCCGTTAAAGAAATTTAGTGGGTCATTAATATGATCAAGTTGTGTTTTAGAAAGACCACTCGTTAGCTGTGTGAATAATGACTCAGAGAAGGTTAAATCTGAGACAATTAGGAGGCTATCACAGAAATCCAGATAGGAAAGTCAGGAAATGAGAAGCAGTAAGGTGAGAAAGGAGAGGACACATTGTGGAGATATTTAAAATGGGACCAATTCACAATTTGTAGTAATGGTAGGAAGAAGTCAAGGATGAACCACAGTTGATGGGATTGCTCTTCAGGTGAGTGTTAGGAATCTATAAAAATATAAATGGAAGAGAAAAGGAGGTTTGGGACATAGAGTGATGAATTCTGTTTCCTGGGATCATTCATATATGTTGAATTGGCAGTTTAATATTTGAATCAGTAACTCAATGAGGGATCAGCCTGAAGATGTGGATTTGTAGCATTGGTTTATGGATTACAGTTGAAACCATGGTAGTTGAAATCACTCAGGGAAAATACACTATGTGAGAAGGGGACCAATGTTACAATGGCACACGACCCAGAGTTATTGAGATTTGGGATTACAAAAGAGAAGTGCAATAAATGAGTAATATGAGTGGTTACAGAAAAATCCTCAACCTTAAAAAAAAATGACCACTATCTTCTTGGCTGTGTTTTCTATCTGATTTAAGATTTTCCAAGATGCACTGGTTTTTGATATCACAATTATTACAATTGATTGGATTTCAAGACACCTCTACTTTGTGATGAAAGAATCACAAAATGGAATGCAAATATTTGATGTCGATCTTGAACACAAGGTGAAATATCCCAGGAAGCTGAAAATTTGCAACAGAAATTCAACAATAATCTCTTTCTTCGTGTATCCCCTATTAAGGTATCTGAAATATACCTTTTTCTATTGTGCTGAAATACAGAGACATATTTAATATATCTTTGGTTTAATATTAGGTGTTAATGATGGGGACATAAGATGCTTAGGGGTCTTAATTCACTACATTAACTTTTAGTAAGTATCTCTACATGTAAACTATGAGCCCACAACCACAAGTATGTAAACTGAATCCATACTAACAACTTAACTAGCTTAAAGTTAGGTTAATTGCCAGCAGGAAACCAAAGCAGATTTTTATATCAGTGAATTTAGTAATATCCTCAGTTGATAAGGACAAGAAGGGGACTGA